CTCTTGCTCAGGCCTTGTCCTGTGTATCTTCAGAACCTTTAACACAGATTAAAAGGGGAAGAGTAGGGGGAGAAAATAAATAAATAAATATATATGTGTGTGTGTGTATGTGTGTGTGTGTGTGTGTGTGTGTGATGAAATCCTTAAGAAATGGTTGCTTCTGGTGACAGAGTTAGGAATACTTTTTCATTTTCCTCAAATGTCCTATATTTTAAAAAATTTCTACATTAAGCATCCATTACCCACATAATTTAAAAAATAAAGGAAAAACATTCACTAATGACAAATCCATACTTTAAACGTTAAATAAATCAAATTGAAATGTTTATTCCTGTATCTTGACACTGATGATTTTAATAAGGGCTAGAATACAATATTTTTCAAAAAAGTTTCATGAAAAGTGACCATTATAAATTAGTAAGATCAAATCTACACTGCTGATTCTGTATTCTCACACTTTAATATAAAATTCTATTTTAGTCTGAGGGCTTTTCATCTTCCCTTTCTACTCTATGGCTGCGGTAAGCAGAATTTTGACTTCTGATCTTCACGCCCCTTTGTTATTCCTGTAAATGTAAGAATGTGAACTGGCAAAAGACATTTTACAGATAAAGTTAAGGTTGCTAACCAGGTGACCTTAAAATTTGAAGATTATCCAGTTGAGCCCAATTTAATCTCATAGGACCTTAAAATCCAGAGGGAGGCAGAAGAGCCAGCTCTTCAGAGATATGTAGTGTGGTGGAGGCAAGGACCCCTGCAGCTGGCTTTGAAGAGGAGAGGAGCTGCAGTCCAGAGAAGCCGTGGCCTTTTCAAGCTGCAAATGACCCTTAGCCAGCAGTCAAAACAAGCAAACAAAACATACAGAACTTCAATCCCACAGCAGCATGGAACTAAATCTTGCACCAACTTGGTGCATAGAACACATTCTCCCCTGCACCAGTCTTCCCAATGCTTTGTTTTTCCAGCCTGAGTGACCTGAAACAATACCAATGAGCCCACCACTGAACTGACTTACAGAGCTTAAGATAATCAGGTTGTGCTGCTTTATTCAGTGAGTCTGTGGCAATTTGTGATGGCAGCAACAGAAAACTAATACAGTGACTAAAAGGAGAAACTATAGCGTACAACAAAGATAGAGATAGGTTGAAATCTCTAAAAAGTAACAGGCACTCTTTTTCTACAGTAGTTTTCCCTGTAACTACTGACATGCAGAATATTAGCTGAATGACAAAATGGAAACAAACCACCATTCAAATCAACCAAAGTCTTTAATATGATTTTGTGAAAAAAAACCTTATAAACAAGTGAGACAGGCTGCTTTTCTCTTGTGATTGTTACATATGCATTTTGTATGGTGCAAATATTAATGGAGAACCTGTAACTATGAAATATTGTGTAATTCAAGGTCTTTTTATTACACCACTACTGTATGGTCTTGCCACTGATTTTTAACATAAAAAATACATGACAAAACTGAAATTTGAATTTATGGTTATTAAAACACAAAGCACTGGGAGCGTCCTTCTTGTTTAAATGAACATAGAAAGTGATCCCAATTTCAACGTTTTTGAAAACAATTTTTAAGTAGATATATAATAAAATGCTTCATTATATAGCTATTTAATCTATCAGCCTATGGGAATTCTTTTTCAGAAGATGGGTTAAGAAAAACAAATGCAGATAGAAAGTTCTTAAGAACAAAATTGAATACCCAATTTTATCATGGACATAATCTAATAGTTGTCAACTTTTGTTATTGTTGTTGCACTCAAAATTCACTGTGTAATATTTAAGCATAAGTTAAAAAGAACATGCGCATCCTTCCTAAAGTAAAGCAAGATCACTATGCTTAGAGTTCACAGTTCTGTATGAATTTTACATTAAACACTCAAAATATTGTACAACCGCAGGTATTTGTCAACAGTCTTAAGAAAGTGCTGTATTTTGGTACATTAAGGCAGTTTCAGCCAACATTTTAAAAAGTTCTAGATAACTGTTAAAACAAGAAAATCTGGCATTTAAATATTCACTGTTTACAGGAAATTTTAAGTCACTTAATATAATTTATGTAATTGTGATTTAAAACATTTTGATCACTATATTCTTAGCACATTAAGACTTACCTAAAATCAAGACACTCATCCTATCAGTATCAAAGATATCTAAAAAACAAGGGGGGGATTTACATTAAATAAGGATGGTAAATCCTATATTTAAACAAGGGCCTTGAAATAGTTTCTCACACACAGCTGTGAGGTAGGTGAATACACACATTTTGTACATGAGAAATCTACATGAAATTACATGACTTGCTGTGGTCACAGCAGCCAAAACCAGAATCAAATTCCAAATTGGATTGTGTTCTTTGAATTCATTCCATTACAAATCTGTTTAAAGGGATGAATGGATGAATGCCATTCACTGCATTCATTTTTAAAAGAGAGAAAGCAGCCACTCTTACCAAGGTGACTTAGAAAGTGAACAGCAAAACTAGAAAAATATATCTACACTATCTGACAGTGATAGGGTGAGGTGCAGCCAAAGACACCTGAAAACAAACAGGTAAAAACAAATGACGTGATCGATTATGGAGGGCAGATGTAAGAAGAAATGAGAGAAAAACGAAAATATAGTTCAAATAATTATTACTGTTCCTACAATTTAAGAGAGAAGGCACAATTCCGGTGTCTTTGCTAGAAGAGGGAACCTATATCCCCTGTCCACTTTAGGAAAATGTTATCTGTCTAGGAAAATGGCCTTTCTTTGTAACAAAACTTATTTCAAACGGACTTGTAACTGTGAAAAATGTTGGATTAGCAAGAAAAAATTAAATGTAATTCTCTGTGGCTAGATCTAATGTTCCTATTCCTCCTTGAAATTTTAAAGTAATACAAAGCAGCAGACCTCACATTTAAAAAAAAAATCACACTGAATGAAACTTGTCAAAATTCTATAAATGCTCAAAACGTTTCATGCTAGCATATTCTACAAATAATTTCTTTCTCCTGGAAAGAGTGCTCTACTTAATTGCACTTTAAATATAACCAAAATTTACTTACCCTGCTTATCCAAATAATCGTGAGTATTTCCATAAAAACTAAGCTGCTTTAGATATAGTTACCAAAAATCACATACACAGTCACAGCCACAAACTGGCATTGCTATGCAAGACTGGCAGTAAACATTAACACTGGCTCACAAAATTAATACAACCCTACAGTCTGATAACTTCTAGACACAGTCTGATTCTTATCAGGTTATGGCTGGAAAAGTTTAATTAAAACTGAATCCAGTCTAGACTGTGGGTCCTGATCTCTAAGCTATTACTATTCAGTGGCACCAAATGCATTATAATTACATTTAGGCGAGGTTAGTAAGGATTCAGCAACTTGTTTAAAGAAGATTTATATAATTTTTAAAGTTCATCAAACAAATTACATTTCTAAGTTTTATAATGTTTAGAAGAATCTCTATCAAGCCAATTATAACAAGGTAGTTCATGAGTAGAAATGTACTCTATGAAAATAGTGTGTTATCATCTAATATACAAAGTGAAAAATTCCCAATCTGTATGTCAATTTTAGATAACCCTAAATCAGGTGATAATCAAAACTTAGTATAATTTAAGACAAGTTGGGCTAGTTTTACGTTTTTAAAAAAGACTGTGCTGTAAGAATTCTGTCAATAAAAGAATCCTGTTTCTTCATTATTTTTAAGCACCCTCAGTAACATAGAAGTGCCTGTAAAAAAATCAATGTGCTAATCATAAATATTTCAGATATTACATCTCATTAGTACAATCAACAGGTTCCAAAAACTATAAAATTATTCTGTTAAGACTACTTTATATCACTCTAAGACTTAAAAAGCAATACATCTGCTTATTTTTATGACTCAACTACTCAAATATTTCACTGATTCAGCCTGTTCTCCCCAGAGGGTGGCAACAGCAGTGAGTCCCACTGAGTACCTGTATGGCATTCAAGCTTTAGGGAGAGCTTTCCTGGTCCTGTTTCCTCATCCGGAAATGGTAACTTCACAAGGTTACTGCAAGGTATTAAATAAGTTAATAGACATAAAGGGTCTGTGGATCTAAAAGTCACTATACCAGTTAAGAAATGCTTCCATCACTCTAGCTTAGTGTAGTTTTGCTTTATGCAAAGTTCACATGATTTTCTGGATGATTTCTGCCATTTTACTTAGAAAAATATTCAAATATATACCTTCAAAATGCCTCACCAAACAAACTAAATTTAGGACACTAGCATTAGTATGAAAACTCTTAAATATAAAAAAGGGAACACTAAAACAAGTCATACAAAAAGATAGAGGAGACAGAACTTTAAAGCTCGTAGGTAACTCAGAGGTCTTTTATACTATCCCTCCCAATTCAGGGGCAATAATGAGACCCAAAAGAGGATGCAACCAACTAACAGATTGCACACATCCAGAATCTAGAATAGTGTAGTGTCTCTAAGAATTATTAAATTACATTCCTTAAAGAAGTCACAGAATGACAGGATCACCAACGAAAGAAATGCCAGAGTGAAAGGTAAAGGTCTTTAGAAACAGGCAAACTGAGATGTCTCGCATTTAGGGTGCTGAGACTTCACACCCATGAATGGGACTCAAATGACATATCTGTGGTAGGTGCATTCTAAACTTGTGGATTTTACATATGGAAGATGCAGTGCTCACTTTAACTCAGTATACGGTATTAACAGAGCTAAAGACAACCCCAAATAGTCAAAAAACCTGTAACGGTTGTCTATATAAGTCTCAACTTTGTTTCATCAAATACTAATAATCTGTTTTATTCCCTGAGTACAAACTGTCAAGTAAGAGAAAGCAAGTTCAGAATCATGTAACTAACATGGAAAATCTCCACTTACAGAAAATGGAGAATTGTCTGCATTCTATGTAGCTAATTCTCTGATGCAGAAATACCGTTATTTTTTATTAGTCCCAGCTCCTGACTCTCTTAACTGATGGTTAGTATCAAAGCATACAAATCCTGGAGATTACAAAAGTGTCTCTTAAAAAGAGATCAAAACAAAAACCCAACTTAAAACAGTTTGCCTGCTCCTCTACTTCTCTACATATTCAATTTGACTGACATTAAAGACCAGTTGAGAACTAGAACTAAATATGGTGCCCTGTATAGTTATTTTTAAAACCTTCTGACTATACATTTTCAAAGTAAGAATCAATGATATTGAATCATTACCCAGAAAATCGTATCAGTGCTTATCTCATAGTTTTTATTAGCCATCTTGTTTAAGGTTTTTCAAGTTAAAAAATAAACTTTGCTCCAAGCAATACCATAAATTGATTAAGAAAGCCAAGGTACAATGGAGCAAGAAATATGAAATTCTATTTAGTTCAGCATTTCCTCAACATGAGTGTATTCACATGTTAAAATTAAATTATTCTGATTTTGAACCAGTTTCTTCTCCAACAAGGGAAGTCTTAGTTTTAAACTATCTTAATTATGGAAATCCAGAGCAAATTTTTTCCTTATTAAAGGCTTTTCTAAATTTGCTTCATCCCATAGTAAAGTAAGTTTTAAAGTTAATAAGTTTTAAAATTGGGCAAAACAAGAACAAGCTAAGTAAAATTTATATATTTTTATATAAAGACTTGTCACAGTCTTTAATGTACATATCCATTGTCATCCTCAAGCAGGAGAGTAACATGTAACATTTTCCAAACTTACTCAGTAGAATCTTTTTTTCTGCAGAGCATCTCATAGGAAACAGTTCAGTAAGTGCTGTTCTTGAATACTATGGCATCCATTTCCATGATGTAGCTTAGGCTTTATCTAAAACCTAATGATAGCAGCTCTCTTCCAGAATCAGAACTGGAAGAATTCATTCCTACCCAGATCTATCTACTTACCACACTCAAAATTAACCCATTTAAATAAGGCTGAAATGTGGGTATTTGGGGCAAGCAACATTCTTTCCCTCTCCCTGATCATTAGCAACACCACCAACAGCAAAAAATGCTATGAAATTTCTAACCCCTGTTATGCTGGACCAGGCCTCCTGAAATCTCTACAAACCAACTTACTGGACCATCTAGAAGCACAGAATAGCTATGCTTTAAAAACTTACGTATGTAGAAGCCAAACAGTGACACCTGATTCTCCTAAAAGACAACAGAGTAACTATCAAATTGTAGATGTTCATAAATACTGGCAAGAATGAGAAAATAATAGCTTAGGCTTTATCTAAAACCTAATGATAGCAGCTCTGTCCAAAAAAGATGGGCATTCATATAATGTAATTTTGATATTCCTAACATCTTATTTATTAGACTTTAACACAGTAAAATGCTACTGGATTCCTTCTTGCTCTTTCTCTGCCTGTAATATTGTGGATTATTAATATTTTGGGATAAAGAATAGGAATAATTCCTTATTTCTAAGGTCACCACTCAGGCAAATATTATGAGGTGAGCTTTTTCAAGGTCATCACATTTGGTAAATATTATGAGGCACCATTTTTTCCCTCAACAGAGGTATTTCAACACATCTGAAGAAGCCAAAATTGTGCCATTAGGACTATTTATCCCTATACAAATGGCCCCAGAAAGTACCCATTGGTGTCACTAGATGGCAATCTTTCCAAGGCTTACACTAAACATTGTAACTACAACCTCACTCCCAAATTGGGGAACAAGGATTCCTTTTGACTTAGAAATCAAAGTCACATTTCAATTAACACCATTTTTTAAAAAAAATTTCTAACAGAACAGTATGACACCACATGCTACACACTTCTGACTCAGAACTAAAGATAGATAATGTTTATTTTCCATAAATACTAGAGAACTTGATCTAATCTCATTTGCCTCTTGGTAGAAAAAAAACCAGTATTTATGGCAAAGAAATCTGTCAAGACAATGTAATTTTCTGTGTTCAGGAGCTCAGTCTTTTCTAGGATAAGTCAGATGAATGAAATTTTTAATTATAATATATTTAATGAAAATATAAACAAGCAAAATAAATTTTAAGATTAAATACTTTTAGTAAAACAACAAAATCTACAAGCTTTTATGTACTCTGCTATCACTAAGGATTTTCTAATTAAAAAAGCTGGCACACAAAAAAAAATTGGTTTCCATTAGAAGTACTAGTATGTGAATACATATATGTATATATGTAAACAACATAGTATTTATTAAAGAATGATTTTTTTTTTTTAATTAAGGCTTCCCTACCCTAACAGGTTCAACATGAAGGTCACAGCCTATCAAGTTTTGGAAGTACACAAAAGCCCTTAGGGCCATAACAGTATTGTCAAATTGGCTGGCTAGCAACCAAGATACAGAATAGAGAGAAACAGAAAAAGACTGGAATAAGCCAATCAGTCACAAAAGACCAAGCAAAGACAAAGGTGACCAGGGAAAGTAGGGGTTTCCCTTCAATAACTTCAGATGCAGAATTAGCAATGCAGGATGCAACAGGTCAGACAAAAAGACACAGACACAATCTCTCCCCTAACACCACACATAGTAAGAGATCAAACGTGAGAGTATTCTTTTAAAGGATTGTTGATAATTTTGCTTTGTTCATGTTTTCATGTGTGTGAAGCAAAAAAATAATGAAGAATTTAAGTAGATTTTGAAGGCAGCTTTTAAAACGATAAAAATTTATGAAAAAGATGAATGTTGTTGTAATTCTAGATGTTCTGATACTGAACCTTAAAGGCTCTTAGGGTAAATTTTCCAGGGACATTTCAAGATAAAACTTTGATTTGGGTACAGCTGTTTTCAAGAAACTTGGAATGACAGCTACCGATTTCAGGACAGGAGCTCTTCTGTCAAGTATTAGGTAGTGGCTGCAAAAACTGTTAGAAGAACTTGGTTTCTGAAATATTGTGGGTATGTCTTTTAAATTGCAGCATTCAAATACTACCTTACTAATAGTTGTTTTAACTTTTAACCTTCTTGTGCAAGACAACTGACGTAAAAACACAGGTTAAAGCTTACTGAAAATGAGAAGTCAACTGACTGTACCTGTAATTCAAGAGTAAAGCAAGGAGGTGTTGCCAAAGCACCCTTCAGTTGAGATGATTCACCAACTAAGGCAGATTAATCATCTGTAGTGAACTCACAATTTTAAATAAACAATAATCTTCATCAATGTCACCTACTAAGTATAATGCCTTATGTGGATTTATAATAGACAAAAAGAGAATTATTCTACAGGTAAATCAAGTGTCAGACTATTTTGTTTTCAGTAACATCAATGGTACTGAGTGTCCGCTGGAGACATTCACATTTCTCCTTCATAATGCAGAGTATGTGATAGCCATAAGTAAGATAATAATTTAAAGAATATGTCTGATTTTCACAGTGTGGTAACAAAATATAAATAGAGATTAGGAAATGACCATCAACGAGCTAAAGTAGTAATCAGGCTGGCACACATTTCAAAAAAATCCATGGTGTGACTGCCCAAACGAGGCGGAACCGAAGACAAAGAGCTTCCAGTCAAGGAGCCAGTGAGAGAACCAGAGAGAGAATGGCTCTCTACAGCTGCCGAATCAAAACTTGATCTTGCTCTATGTAAGCCAGCAGCCGAACAGGAACGCTGGGGTGTAGAGGAACCCGACCTCTGCTCCATCACCTCATCTGAAACAGACCAAAGAAGAGCAACTTACAGACAAGGTTTGTATGCCCTCCTGCTTCCTATGAAGGATATGGGGCAACTTAGCAATGGGCATCACATGTCTGTGCAACACCTCCTCCTTTCATAACAGGAACAGAGATCACTAATCAATCACACACTTCACATGGTTAAAATGTAGACCCTCAATCCCTCTTAACAGAGCATGTGGCATTAACCCCTTCCCATCAAGCTGATGACCAGGCTCATTTCAAGAAAACATGGTCCCTGGACACTGATTTTCTTGCAGTGTCTCAACTAAAATCATAAGCATAAAAATAGAAGTTGCTATTACACAGTGGTTCCAAACCTCTGGTGCACACTGGAATTACCTGAGGACTGCAAGTTGTATGAGGTCAAGGTGATGGGGAACAGAGGGAAATCTCATTTAAAATGCAAATTCCAATTTCCCAGAATTCAGCTATCTCCAGAGACTGTGATTGCATAGATTTGGGGTGTTTCCGCATTTTAGTAAGAGCAGTGGGTAATTTTGATGATGTGGACTTGGTATCATATTAACACTGCTATATAGTTGGCTGCTGGTTCAAGAATCAAATTTAAATGCTCTAGTTAAAACAATTTTCCTAGCTTTGAACATGGCATCACTTTTGCTCCATGCAGCAACTGACCCTTAATTTATTTTGTTTATATCCTGCCCACGCCTCTGAATGCAATACCACATTTGAATACCACCTGGGTTTCACTCTCAGCACACACTAAAGACTCAAACACAAGCACCTTGATTTATGTATCTCCTGAACAACCAAAGGCACCCAAATCCCAGGACAGCCCTGACTGGTCATCATGACCACCATCAATGAGAGACACTGTGAAAAGAGGAAGTTTAGATATCACAGCGCTAACTAATAAAATAGGAGTGGACAAGCATGACAAAGCACCTGACAACATCATTAAGTTTAGGCAAAAATCTGTTTCCCCTTTGTTCCCTTCCTTGAATGGCGAACACTTCAAATCACTTCTTTATGTCAAGATAGCACTTTTAGAGAGGTATTGCCTAAGAAAGTCCATGTCTTTGGGTTCTTTCCATTTCACTTAAATTTTTAGGTTTACATTACTTTAAAAGGGGGGAAAAACCGTATAGAAGACCTACCCACCATGTTTTTGAGAAGATTTTAATATCTTGACAATTAGTATCAAGTTTTATCTTCTCAGAGATCATGCCTGCACAGCTTCCTTACCATCAATGCTTTTAAAGTCCAAAAGATAGCTTCTATTATCAACCAGGTAAAGCTGTAAGCTCATTTTCACATAATTGCCAGTCACTGGATTTTTTCTTCTTACTCGAAGATGGTATGCATTCACTACCTAGAACAGAAAATAATCTTTAAAGAAAAACATTAAAAGTATCAAACTACAATATCTCCCTTAATCCTATTGTGAAGAAAATAAAAAATGGTGGAGGAGGAATTCCTAAAGGATCTTTTTTTTTTTTTTTAAGATTTATTTAAGCATACAGAACTGGGGTACAGGCCAGGGTGTAAGGGCAGTGAGAGGCTTCACCAGAGACACAGTGGGGGGTAGAGCAGGATGACTGAGGAAGTACACTGCTGAGGGAACAGTGGGTGGGTCAGCAGAGATCTGCCACACCATGTGGGTCACCTCCGGGGCAGGGATCAAACTCATGGTGAAGTGGCTTTAGCTTCTTAGTGCCGTGCTTTAACAGGGAGGGCCTGAAGGATCATTTTTTCAATAGTACATTGCAGTTTAGTTATAATTTAACCCCCAATAGTAGTACTGTTTGTATGTAGAATTATAACTTAAAGGGAACTCAGCAGTCAGAGTCTAGCATTCATTCTAGACATTCACCTACGCTAGAACATCAATAATAATCTTGATTATCCAGTCTTGGCTTTAGTACTTTTTCCTATGAATATGAAATAGGAGGAATATATGGAAACTAATAAAGTAATAGTTTGCATCAGGAACTATAACAGATACAGTCACAAAATTTAAGTACCACAATAAAACTGTGAAGAACATATTATTTGCCTTTGGAAGATAAAACTACAGTTCAGATAAAGAATGTTCTGGATTTTCAAAATAGCTTTCAAAATAAGGAATTTTAAAGACATTAATTTTCTTTTTAAAGATTTATTTATTCATACAGAACTGGGGTACAGGCCAGAGATGCGGAGGGTGAGAGGGTTCACCAGAGACAGAGTGGGGAGCAGAACAGGCAGATGATCAAAGTACACTGCTGAGGGGAGCAGCGGGTGGGTCAGGAGAGGTCTGCCTCGCCCTGTGGATCTCCTCTGGAGCAGGCAGAGATCGAACTCATGCGGCGGAAGTGGCTTAAGCTTCTTAGTGCAGTGCTTTAACCCACTGCGCCACCAGGGAGGGCCCGACATTAATTTCTTTTTTAAAACTAAATTAACAAAGTTTCAGGAAAGGGAGATCTATTAATTTAACAGTCTAGAGGAAATTTTTACTTGTTTATTCATCTCATGTAAAAATGAAATGAAAATGAATTTGAGCACCTAAGAAAAAAGGTAAAATGTAGACTGGAAGAAAAAAAATACAACTAGGGATTTAAAGCATCAGCCTAATTAGATATTTTATCAATTAACATAACAGTATTTGTTGGCTGAATAAACATGTCCTGGTGGTATAATTTACACTACCAGTAGCTGCCACAGCTATAAGAAAAAGAAAAGGAGAGGGCAAGAGAATGGGAAAAGGAGGAGAAAGGAGCTAAGGGGAAAAAGAAAATCTCCCTTCAAACAGGTGGGCCTTTTCCTCAGGCCATTTCAAGTTATTTATTTTTTTGTTTCTCAGCTAAAAAGTGCAGTTAGATAATTAAAAAATATGAACACCATCAGCTCTTCATCCTTACAGATGTTTGTTTGGTTTTGAATGTATGTGGTCTATTACTGGAAAGAGTTACGTTTACCAACCAAATATGAAGACCACTAAATTCATACCTAAATCAAAATCAATTATTTTCATTGACCTCAGTACTCAATGCAGCAAAGCAGAGGAGCTACTGTCCAAAAGAAATGGCTTCTACAAATATACTGGTTTTCTACCTTCCATTCAAAATCCAGCTGCTTCATAGCTCGGTAAACTTCAGCCATAATGTCATATGGTTTGCTCTGACTTCGGATCCCAAGGTGCCACTTGGCTTTCTTCACAGCTAAAGATTTAGGCTTCGTTGTATTCAGTGCATCCAACGGACATCTTGCTTTAGGGCTGTCTGCTATAAGAGGTGGCATCCTTTCTGGATGAGGTTTCAAACCTGGGGGAATATGCATGGCACTATCATCCATAAAAGAACCAGTTGGGGGACTAGAAGCAAGGTAGAACTCACTGGCTTGGTTCATAATTCTCCGATTGTCAATGATAAGATGATAAGCCACTGCAAGCTGGTCTTGAGGGTCACCACTATATAAACTGTTCATTACTTCCGATTCTGTACATTCAAATTTTTCACACACTTCTTTTACAGCCTCATCATCAATGACGTTAGCATCATAGGAAGGATCTTCAGGAAATAAGTAACTGGGCAAATCTTGTTTAAACCATTCATGCTCTCTAGGAAAAATACCATAATACACTATTATAAGAACATGACTTGGCAAGTCCCAAATAATTTAGACATGGGGCAATACATGGTAACAGAATGAGAAAGAAAACCTGGGCTTTTATAGTTATAGTATTACCTTGAATAAGATAGTTAACATGCCCTTGAGTAACTATGGTTCTTTGGGCTAGGGTATTTGGCTGACATTTGCTCAAAAACAAAATGTATCTGTCACCTTATAGGAAACAAATGGAAGTACATACTGCCAATGGTAATATTCAAGCTTTCAAGCAAAAATTTAGAATTTTGTATAATTTGCATCTGCCACTTTCATAGCTTCTCTATAATCAAATATTTACTTGGTGAGTTTACTGATGGGAATTATGAGTATGACTTTTGGTATTGTGACACCATTTGGAAAATCTGTCCAACTGAATATGCCAATATTTTCCAAAGGACCACTGCATGATGTTACAGAATCATATACAGGTAAGATTTAGTCAAATTGGGGAGAAAAAAAAAAGTAGGTTTAAATTTAACAAGGTACAAAAGTTCATTGATAAGTTTTCTAATTTGGCATTGCTACATGGTAAGCTTTATATCAAAGAATACCCATAATTATTTTTCCAACCACTTCAATTATTTGAGAGAGAATAGATTTTCTTCATGCAGTTCAACTAATGTAACATGTTGCAATTGGCTGCATAAAGAAGTAGATATGAGAACCTAGCTGTTATCTTTAAGTCAAACATTAGGATTTAAAAGATGTAAATACTATTCTTGTCACATTTTTCATTTTTAAATTACGCTATTTTTCATAAAGGATATATTAGAGTCACGTGTAAGTTTTTTGTTATTTTAAAGGTAATTATGTATTTTAAACTCTGCAGTCTATGATAATTTCTATACAGGGATTCTAAGACCCACTCTCCTAAATCATATTTCCTATTTCTGAACCTTTGTACATGATGTTATTACTACCCCAACTCTTTTCATCTGACTTCAAGACTGTCTAAGCACTGTTACACGGCAGAACTGGGAAACCAGATCAATATGTATTTTGCCTGAATTTCTCTTCACTGGTTAATTCAGTTGTGACTATTTACTACCAGCATATTATTCACAAGATGATACACTCCTTCTCATCACACAGCTATATTCTATGGTTTATTTATTTTAGCTGGATACAGATTAAATGAAAACACAGAAAAATAAATATGTAGTTAAGCAAATACAAAAATCCTGTAATAAACATTTTCAACATAAAGCACAAGATAAAACAACAGATTATTCAGAACAGGAGGCAGGTGATTAGGGAAGCCACTCTGAGCAACATTTAAGCAGATGTCAGAATAAACAGATATCAGCTAAGCAAAGAGTTGGGGAATAGGTATTTCTAGGAAAAAATAAAAAACACAACATATGCAAAGACTCTCAGGCAAGGAAAGAGTGTTGCCATATTCAAGGAACTGAAGCCACTATCACAAAGACAATGACTCATCGTCAGTTGGAGTGGCAAAAATTCAGGTATTTTTGACATCTGTAGACTATAAGAAATGATGTGGGATTTGAACCTATAGCAGGTGAAAATCACTGAAAGATTTTAAAAAGAGGTTAGGGATGACATGCTCTAATTTGAATTCTACGAGGTACTTCAGCTTTTGATATAAAAATGAATTTAAAAGATAAAAGTAATAATGGTGCAGATGATGCTAGAATAATAGTCTGAGTGAGAAAGGACAATGTACCAGGATCTGAGAAAGTATACAAAGATAAATCCTGAAGAATCAAGATCCACTATAACACTCAAATTTTCTAATAGTTATTAATGTTTTCTTAATCTTCCCTAATAAATGAGTATTCACTGAAACAGAGACCATGATTTATTTATCTACAGTTCTCTAGTGAATGCTCATGAAATACAAAATCTATGAATGATTAATAGGCACTAACATAGAAAGACAAAAAAGAATTCACTGCTCTAATTTGCTATACTATGCTTGTAATAGGCACCTTGTATTTGTAATAGTAAGACTGACTTCTTAGAAAATAAGAGGTTACATGTCTAACATTTTTGAAATATCAAAGACAAATAAAAAAATGTGTATCTATGAATGAATCCCAAATATTCACTCCTCCACAAAGCAGAGATTACTAGAGAAAAAAATGATCAAAATAAACATTTTCAGAACTCTGAAAAAGTTAATCAAACTCACAACAATCTGAGGAAAGCTGAATAAGAAAAGTGGCTATACAACAGTACAATGAGATCCGTCAAAGTCTAACTGGCTTATAATTCTCTCCCTTCCCCCATTTTTGAGAACCAAGAGCCTCATAATTGTGGAACCCCAGAAAACCAGCAGGGAAGGGTGTAGGCAAGTAAGATAGGTTTAGCTAAAAGTCCCACACCCAGAAACTGTCACTATGTGACATATATGGCAATTCCCTGGGAATCTCACATGAAAAGTACTGTCTCATCTGACCTAATTCAAAGACCTCTCAATGTAGGACATTTGTTGAAGCAGTCATTGGCAATTATCTGTCTTTCCTAGTGTCTATAGCAGCAACAAGAGTGGGAATAAAGAAGTTTTTGACCCAAAGATTCAAAGGGAAAGATTTAAAGACTAACAGTCCCACAGAGGTCTTTGAAATACTCTGTCATATTCTTGGGACTCAAGGCCACACACATGTACAGAGTTGTGTGCATGCCCAAGAAAGAACTGAGAAGACACTAATTTCTCATTACTGGCTAACCTTAAGGATCTGTGCAAGCAGATAGTGTTCCTTTCACTGGCACACTTAAGACATACACCAACATGCCAAGATCCCTATGGCAAAGGCTGGAAGACATAGTAAAGGCATTTAAGGAAATGCCTAATAATTAGCTGACCATTAAGCTAACCAGAGACTTCAGTGGCACCCATAATAAAAAATGCAAACTTTATGGAAACACTTCAGTAAAAATCAAGCAACAAACAAGAGCAGCAACATATTACAAACTCAAGACATATATATACCCAAGATAAATGAAAATACATAACCATACAAAACTTGAACCTGAATGTACACAGCATTTTCTTAAGAGCTAATAAGTAGAAATTATTAAAATATCTACTAAAATACCATGAACCATGTTTTTCGAGCCAAAATGGAATCTGCATACATCAACTAATATATACTGTACTATACTATATCATGAAAGAAACTTGAATACATGCTAGTGAAAGAAGCCAGTCTCAAAAGACCACATACTGTATCATTCCATTATATGAAACGCTTGGAATCCAAATCCACAATGATACAGAGTTGATTAGTAGTTGCTATGACTTAGGAGGAAAGGGAAAAGAGAAATGATTACTAATGGGTAATATTTTGGAAATAATTAAAATGTTAAAGGGGAAATTTTATGGTATGTGAATTATATCAATAGTGTTTAAAAAATATTAAATCTATAAATAATCTAAAGATTTACAGTTAAAAATCCATAATCCTTTCTTAACCTCTGCCTTTATAATCAGGCCTTTATACAAAATTAGCTATCCAAAATGATTTGCCCTTTAGAGAATAAACAAATTTAAGTCAATGCAGCAGGCCTCTCTTTTCCTGTATTGGGTTTCTCAGCTGTGGACTTCTTTCCATCTGCTGGGTTCCTGTTATCTGCAGTCCTTTTTCCCAACAAAAATGTCTTTGATTTCTTCACACCAATAGCCTTTTCTAACCTCTTTCTCATCTAATTTGGCTCCTAGCACTGCTGCTGCCTTATCCATCTGGAGTTTGTGATTCTTGGCCTGGTCAAGACTGGTGTTCCCATGCATGATCTTTGCATATGCTTTTAGTGTCAATATGATTCTTAGATTCTACAATGGATTCCTCTCCAGGACTCTGCAATGACTCTTCTGATGGTACGTGGAAGGCTCTTCACATTTCAAAATTCTACTGAGGTCTGTCCTAGGTATCTTATGCAAGGGAAGGTTGCAGTTACTCTCAAGGGAGGCACTTCTACGAAAAGTGCCATACAGGTTATCTAACTTGTCAAAAGCACTTTCAATTCAAATGCAGAAACATCCCAGATGCCCACCAGGAGCAAATTTCAGGACATCCAGTTTGCTTGTATCTTGCTTATATATACAAGCAAAGTAATTCTAGGGACATTTTTGAAGGCCTTGATGCCACAGTTCTCATTACAGATGACACAGGATCTCTGCACTGGAAAAAACATACCCTCTTTACCCTCCCTGCCACCTCCACGGAGAGGCTACTTTTTCATTCTAATGTAATTCTAGACCTTAATTATTGTAAGCAAAAAAGCCTTCTTAGTCTTTTCTGTAGCTCTCAGCTTTATCCTCAACCATCAAAGAAGTTCAGGAACTTCCTCAATAAGATGATCTCAAGACACAACCCTGGCTGAGACAGCCAGGCCTGAAACATTACTGGTGTGTAGTGCTTGCTCTTTGGTGCCACGAGTGCCAGGTTTTGGTGGGTATAAACATGCAGACCCCGCACAACATATACTTCTGAAAGTACTCTGGCCAAACAGTGCATCGCACTGCCTCAGAGAATGTGAGGCACAACTCTGCCAGTAGCCCAAGATTCAGCATGGTCTGATGGCCTGCTAACTCACTGACAGCTTAGGGCTATCTGCCATCTTCCCTCAAGTTGGTATGAAACAAGTTCACAATATGTAGTCAAATGGGAGCCTTGACTAGCAAGCAAAGTGCCATATTTACCAGATCAGCACCCTTTTCTGGGTCTACTTATCTCAGTAGACAAGCACATGCTGTGGTGGAGAAGAAGGCTTCCCTTCTTTCACTCTGGAGGCCCCCACATGCAAAGCCCTATTCTATGTAAGAAAACTGCCAACTAGAGTCAGCTTCTGCACTAAATCTACCATTTTAAGCAGTAACCTGATGTTTAGAAAGGTTCACCTGAGACAGAACCAACTCATTTTTCATAGTTTACTATTGATATACAGCCCATGGCTTTGTATCACCACAAACTGATACCTGATTTTGATATGTAACTCATTTCTTTAAATGTTATTAAGATTAGTGATCAAAACTGTGAAACATGTGGCCCTCTCTGGTGGCACAGCGGGTTAAAGCACTGCACTGGGAAGCTGAAGCCACTTCCACATGAGTTCGATCCCCACCTGCCCCGGAGGTGACCACATGGTGTGGCAGACCTCTCCTGACACGCCCATTGCTCCCCTCAGCAGTGTACTTCATCTATCTGCCTGTTCTGCTCCCCGCTCTGTGTGTAGTGAATCCTCTCACCGTCCCTGCGCCTCTGGCCTGTACCCCAGTTCTGTATCCATAAATAAATAAATCTTAAAAAAAAAAACTGTGAAATATGACAGTGTATCCAAATTGCTTTAAGAGCAGCTAAAACACTCCTATATGCTCACTTAAATATAATATTAATAGCTAGCACTGTATGCCAGTCAACTGTCTCAGAGCTTTAGCTAAGTTGAATATTTGCAGTTGATATATTCATCTGTCTTTAAATCACAGAAGTAACAAATACTTATGGTTTAACTAAGACTATACTCCCCAAAATACCTACTGCTGATAAGCCAGTAAACAGAAGAATTAGGATTCATACTTAGCTGAACTTCTAATCATAACATTAATAGCAAAAAGTAAGCTAAGACTCTTAGGAGAATGCGGAAGTTGGTTTTCATAGAAGACAATGTCTGTCTAGTCTACCACTATATTTCCATCACCTAGCATAGAGCCTTGCACAGAGTAGATGCAAAACAAATATTAAATAAAAGCAAAGAATGACTAAATGAGCAATTGAATGAAGAGCTGTATTTTGTAACAGTCAATAGATTAAAATCTTATTAGAACTATACAGAAAAAAGCTATGGGACAAATATGGTAGCATAAGAAAAATATATTATGATATACTGGAGGAAGAACAGATGTCACAGTACTAACATAGCAATGTGAATTAGTGGAAATAGTCTAGGTTCTGAACTCAGACATTTCTGAATTCAATCTATTTCTGTCTCTTATTAGCTGTGTAATTTTCAACAAACAGATTTATTCAAAATTTAATATGCATAAGGTATATATTTTATGAATTAGTAGTTGCTCCCTAATTAAGACTTAAGAAGGGAGAGAAGATATATTTAAAAAAAAAAAAAAAACTTTTCTTAGCTTCCCTTTCATGGCCTGTTAAACAAGAATAATAGCTACCTATGAAAAGTCAATGCCATCTGTCAGTTATCTCATAAAATAGAATAACTGTTTGACCATTATTGACTCTTTCCCTATTGAGCCATATCTTACCAAATCAAGAATTTCCAATTATGAAAAAATTAAATACGGATAAACTGCAAAACGATGAAACCTTCAAATTTCCATTGTTATACAGCACAGAGGTGAATGCCACTGTCTATACTACCTACTTTTGTACAAATTACTCATCTTAATACACTTATTTTTATTCTTTGTCTGTAGCCTGTAACTATAGAAACATTTTAAAATAACAGAATCGGTATACTTTCACTATTCTAAATATATATGCTGATGCAAACAGGTGCAAGCATATATATCAGCATATCTAATTTTCTTTCAACAGAGCTGCTAATTAAGTGAACTGTTTATTCTAAAGACAAAAGGATTTTTCCTGCTAAAGTTTATTTCCATAACTAAATCTGGAATGAATTTACACTTTCACATTTTGCATATGAGGCCTAGAACACTGAAGACAAGATGGTGGGGGGGGGGGCGAGGGAGGGAAGAAAGCAATATGAAAGCAAAAGGGATCAAGGAATCCATCCTGTCTTGCAGGAGAGATCAGCAGCAGTCACATGAACAACTGCCAACCAGCCCGTCATTTATGTATTCCAAGAGTCACCTGGCTTATTCACAAAAGGGAGAGGATTCTAGGCTGTTTGTAAATAAATACCCAATGGAATATTAGATAACAACAAAAACATCTAACAGGCATGACATTATAAGTAAAGAGCAGAAGGCAATGAATTACCATGGCTTGTGTGTAGTATATAAAGGTCATATTCCCATTTCCAAGATTTCTTACATAGCATGAATTCCTTCAAAGCCAACCCACTGGCACCTATTTTGGGATTTTAAAAGTGGAGCAAAACTTTTATGATTTATTCCATTAACCATAAGTAAAAGATGTGTCTCATTCTGTTTTTCTAATTGAAATGCATTCAAATGCTTCCTGAGCATGTACCATACCCTAGGCCTTGTAGCACTGCAGTTACAAAGATGAGTAAGACACCTTCTCTATCCATAGTTATAATTTGAGAGAAAAAAGATACACTGAGAAGTAGCTAGATACTGTATGAGAATGAAATAAAAGGATAAACAAAAGGTAGAAAATGTAGAAATGGAAGCAACTAACAGTGTGTAAGGGAACAGAAGTCATTTCATAAGGAAGGTGATATGTGAACAGAATTTTAAAAGCATGAATGAAAATTAATCACATCAAAAAGATGCAGAAAAGGTATCCAAGTGAAGAGGATGACATGAAGGCACAGTACATGATAAGTCTGAGTAACAAAGTAATTTAAGTACTGACAGAAGGGGTGTGGCCATAGGTGCAGGAGGTGAGCTTTCAGGAGAGGAAGCCTGGCTCCTTATTATGAAGACCCTCATATGCAATGTTTCCTAAGCTAAAAAGTTTGGGAAACAATATGAAATATTTAGAAGATGAGTGACATGATCAAATGTGTATAATAAGAAAAGTAAAATTCTTATAAAAGTTGTAAAGCCCCACATAAAGTTGGACATTCAGTTAGTAATACTGGAAAATGTACAGAACAGTAACAAAAAGAATAATCACCTTATGTCTTTGATAGTTGCTCGTTTCAGAGGATCAACCTGTAACATATGCATCAGGAGAGTAGCAACAGAACGATTGAGATATTCTGGGATATAAAAAACACCCCCTCGGATCTTCTTAAATAACGTAGGCACGTGTTCATCATCAAATGGGAGGGTGCCACAAAGAAGAGCATACAAGATAACACCGCAGCTCCAGATATCAACCTCAGGGCCTGCATACAGTCTACGACAAAAGATGACAACACAAACCTGAAGTGCATTCATCATTTGTCCTCACCAGGATATACGGTGTTTTGACATATGCGTAACATAAATTTGGTTACATATTGATTTTCAAGGTCTTTAATGAAGTCCGTAACTCCGTAATTCTGAATGGTTTTTCTCCAGAGAGAAAACCGGTCTAGCCATTTACAATTCAATGTGTAGGATGACATCTAGGTAAATGTGCAAGAAAAATGGTGTTTTATTTATCATAAATATATTTAACTGAGCTTAATAACTGACCTGTTAAAACTTTCTACTTTTTTTCTGATAGATACAAGTCAAAGACCATAAATTGAAAAAATAATACCACAAGTGTATTACATACCTCTTCTAACCTTAAAACAACAAAAAAAAACAAGCTTATAGATTTTTTTATCCAGGACACACTGATTTTACAGAATACTTGAAACATTTAAATACTGTATACTTTCTAAGAATTGTTAAAATATTAAGGGACCATGTATAGTAAATAAGTCACAATAGCTTAAATATAGCAAATACTGTTTTATCTACATTTTTCTAAAGTAAAAAAAGCAATGTACGTTTCAGTCATTTTTAATGGGTAAACTCAATAAACTTTAAAGAAAACATAAATTACATATTTTTAATTGTTTAACATCACAAGTCTCTAGTCAACAAGGGAAAAGTTAGAAGAACAATTTGTTCCTGGTGTGTTAAAATCCTGTCCTCTAAAGAGAATATGTTACCAGAATGAACAAAAATTTGCAGAATGTTTTCCCTTCACCAATATATGATTACCTGCCGGAGATGACTTCTGGTGCCGCGTAGTTTGGAGACCCACAACTAGTTCGCAGAAATTCACCATCTGACATCATATTAGATAATCCTGAAAATAAGAATGATGTTTACCTGGTGCTTGATATTTATAAAAGGAGATATAGGTAAATACACAAGAAAAATGTCAAATCTTTAATGCTCCATACATGTTTTTTACTTATTGAAAAGGTGCAGTGAAAAGCACTGGCTAGACTAAAGACCTTCTCAGAGTACTTACTTACTCTATGATTTGAAGAAAGCTTAAAATACATCCTGTGCATGATTAGAATTAAATTTCTTTTCTAGAGAAAGATGGTAATTTGCTTTGCAAAAGAGTTTATTCTAAATTATATAAACTTTCCCAACATGAAAATATTATTTACCCATTTCTATTGTTGAAAGGATAAAATAAAGACTATTACTTTTTTTATACTATACTTTCAAAAATCTCTAACTAGAAACCAAACTTCAATTTATAGATTATGTTCCAAAAAATTTCCATGTGGAAAACTTTAACATTAAAAAGATGGTATTTACTAAACAAAAATCTAGTTGAACCTATTATTAACTGAGTTTTGTGAACAAGAGAAGCAAAATAGTGAGACTAGTTTTCTGGTTTTTAAGTTAAAGTACTGGCAAAATTTGTGAATAATGTTTAACTCTGACATCTTTCCAACTCTTTCTATAGCCTCTCCTTCACAAATCCTATCCCCAAACACTCTACTACGGCACTCTTTCCTGGTATGCTTGCCACAAAAAGTGGTGCATAAAAGTATCATTTTACATTTTCTCTTACCTCTGACAAAAACTCTTATTCTTTAACTAAGTTATTAGATGTTACCCTAAGATCTGTTGACATTCCTCTTGATCAAGTCTGAAAATTATAAAATTCCAAAATTTCATGCAAGCTTTTATATGCCTCCATTGAATAGCAATCACCAGGGAAAGTGCCTATATTTTCAATTTTCTAAGGAGTTGGTGGCACTCAGAAAACAAGCAAACAAAACTCAGTTAAGTACCATTTACTTAGGAGGAAATGCAGATTGAGTAGCTTGACCTTGGTGCTAGCCACCTAACTTCTCTAGAACTATCTGTAATTCTTCCATGTGTGTTGAAACAGCAGAACCAACTTAAGTGAGGAAACCATGCAACTAATCCCTTTTAATGGCACAAGATTTGTAATGATGAAACTGAAAATTATTAGTGCTCTAAGAGTTGTCACCCTAAAAGGCAGCTAGTACGTTTCTAAGCCACCAGGAAACTGCATACCAAAATCAGCTATCTTGGCATTCATGTGTGCATCCAACAGCACATTCTCTGGTTTCAGATCTCGATGAACAACCATATGCCTATGACAGTAATCTACAGCTGATAGGATCTGCTGGAAGAGTCGCCTGGCTTCCATCTCTTCAACCTATCAAATGTAAAAGAAGCTGCTATAAGACTATTTCGGTCATCTACATAGCAAGAGTTTTATTTTCGCCATTAGCATAAATATAACTAAGTAAGTTAATCAGAATTGTGCTAAAAATCTCAACAAGTCAGATGAACCAAAAACTTGCATTACAACTCTATATTAAAAAGTTTTCTTTCACTGCTAGGCAGCAATATTAAATCTTCAGTTAGTATTACTAAATGTATATAAAGGTTTAGAGAATTAACAAGTAAAACAGAATCTAAAAAGTTTAAGTCAAAATATTAAGAATAGGGTATAAACTGAAGCATCAACGTGATTTTATGGAACATATTTTAAAAAGAACTGGTATCATACTTTATAATTAAGTGGAACATATTTTGTATTTCCTAATATCAGTGTTTTGAAAAGTATACTTTTAAAGGATGAAAACATGTTGAATATTCTGTTTCGCTGGCCATTATCACAGAAGCACTCCAACAAGGTAGCTATGTGGTTTGCTACTTCTCATCACTTTCTCTATTTTAGCATGTTTATTGTACAAGACAGGATTTTACTCACCCGTCCATGTTTACAGATGTAGTCGAATAATTCACCACCAGACACATATTCCATTACCATAAAAAAATCTGTTGGAGTGCTGATCACCTGGTATCTATTTTGTAAATGAAAAGGAAGTTAACAATAAAATGTTATTACTTCAGTCAAAATCAACCTGGTGTATCTATTCTTGTTACAATTTGTGGCAGTTTACAATTGAAGATGGCAACAAATTACATAATGCTATCAAAATAATCAAAGAGCTATAACCATGGAAGTTTTTAAAATCCACCTACTTCCTGAGACTATAACAGAGGTCAAATGGTTAAATTGCTTTCAGGCCCTAAAACACAAAAGGCAAAAAAAGTATGGAAACTTTTCCCTGAGTCTGGCTTTTGCAGACAAAGCAAAGGCTAAAGGCTTATCTACTAACCTTTAGCTGAGTTTCAAGGTTAGTTAGGGTTGGAAAATACACAATACAGAGGAGAGCCATTACCCAAAAGCAAGGGGCCCACCAACAGAAATTCAAAACTCCGGTTATTTGAAGAACAGCCTCTTCATACTTCATGTATAAACTGCCCTTTAACTAGCCAATGAACTTCAACCAACCCAAATTTCTTTGCCCTTAGCTCACTCCTTGGCCAATAATAGAACTACTTTTTTTTCAAATCTATTTAACCTCTTATCTTTTCTTAGTTAGGGAGACAGATTTCAGTTTGCCAACTAATTTGCAACAAAGCTTCTTCCTTCTTTTCTCAAAACCTGATTTCATGCTATCAGTTTCTGCGCACATCAACTAGCCAGGATTCCAAATCACCCCTTTCATGTTTACATAATCTATGAAACCTTCACTCCTTGGTAACCAAATTAATCATTAATTTTTCCATTTTACAAATTTTTTAATAGCCTAAGGAAAAGTATCATATATTTATAATAAAAAAGGTTCTTTTCAGAGATATGTTCAGAAAATCAAGAAAGTTGTCAAACGACCCCTTTTCAACAATAAAATGCAAGAAAAAAGGCGACAAACTCTATATTAGAGACACACTAGTTACACTGCACACACACAGATTTGGTTTGATTCTGATTCAAACAATCCAACTTGTAAATGCATTTATGAAACAATTAAAAACCTGAACATTGACTGGGTGGTTTTCAATCTCGTTAATATCTAATACTTCAGGTGTGATAATAACTGTGCTTATGTTATTTAATTTTTTTTAAAGAATCCTTATCTTCCAGAATAGATTCTGGAGAATTTATATATTAAAAACATAATAATTTGAGATTTGCTTCAAAATAATCTGAGATGGGAGGAGAAAACAAATAATGCAATACATTGACCACTACCGAAGTGAAATAATATGTGAGGCATCATCACTATTTTGTATATATTTTAAAAAGCCATGATAAAAATATAAATAGAAGTATGTGTGTGTGTGGCTATTCAGTTATTTAGGTTTATTTCAAACCTAAGCAGTAAAGAAGCCCTCCTAGGTGGCAAAGGGGTTAAGTCTCACAGCCTGCTGCTACCCTAGGCAGTGTATTTTAGTAGATTCATCAGTTCTGCTCCCCACTCTGGTGAGTCCTCTCACTCCCTACACTTCTGGCTTACACTCAGTTCTTAGATGCATAAATTTTAAAAATCATTTCTTATATGCATAAGTTTTAAAAAAATCTTTAAAAATAGAATAATAAAGAACCATAGGGCCCTCCCTGTGGACACAATGGGTTAGAGCACAGCACTGTGAAGCCACCACAGCCACTTCCATATGAATTCAATCCCCAGCAAGGGGGATGATCCACGTGGCACAGCAGACCTCTCCTGACTCTCCCACTGCTCCCCTCAGCAGTGTACTTCATCTATCTGCCTGTTCTGCTCCCCACTCTATCTCTGGTGAATCCTCTCACTGCCCCTGCACCTCTGGCCTGTATCCCTGGTTTTGTATGCATAAAAAAAATCTTTAAAAATATAAAGAACCTTAGCTTTACTTGACAAAACAATTTTTTTCCTAAAAAACTACAATTTTCCCACCCATAAACACCAAAGTTTCAAAAACTTTGAAAATGAACTAAATATATTAGTATTTTAAGTTAAGGTTCCACTAATTCAAAGGGATATACAGCAAATTATAATTCTAAGGGATACATAGCCAAGTTATGGGAACAAAACCTAAATGCCCAATGAGAGGGTGGTGGATTAAGAAGATATAGTATATATACAAGATGTAGTTCTACTCAGCTATTAAAAAATAATAATAAAAATATGAACTCTTGCCACTTGCAACATGGATGGAAATGAAATAAATCAGAAGGAAAAATAGAAATACTAAATGTAACTCATATGGACTATAGAGAAACAAAACAAAGCAAAAAACTGTTAAGACTAAACTAAAACAAACCCTAGAAATATCACTGTAGAATTTAGTTACTAGAAGGGGAAGGTAGGCAAAATGTGGGGAGGGGGCCCAAAGTTCTAAAAAAGGACTGTGGATTTTTTATGTAGTAGGTGTGGTGTGGTGACAGTTATCTTAGGTGTGAACCTATTTGCCTAAATCATAAACATTGTTGTAAACCAATGTTACCTCAATAAAAAATAAATGAAGGTTGCATTTAATGCATAAATGAAACAACTGTTCTACTTTTAAAAATAGATTTGTTGTGTTTATAAAAAATTATTTTAGAGTCTGGTTGACTATGAACAACATCTAATTTACACTGAGTTACTTTTGAGAGACACTATGGAAAACTATGTTGTTGGTTTTTTTTTTCATTGGTTGAAGGCACAAATAGAACTGAGAAGTGGCCAATACACCACCCTCCAGGCAGTATACCTTAACACAGGACGTTTCAGGAGGAGAACCTTCCTGCAACTTGTCCACCTGAATAAGGCACCTTATTAATGTGCACAAGAGCAAGAGTGTGTTACATCATGGTTCTGGTTACTAGTCCACTAAGGAGGAACAGGAAAAGAACTAGGAAAGTTGTTGATATAAATTCATACTACTCCTTTTCAGAAAGAACCTATCATGTATCATGTACAAATTAAACACTGCATAATAGTAAAATGTTAAAGCTAAAATAGTACTGCAAATGAGTGTATATTATCGGAAGAAATATTTTTCATAGCAATTTTTAATCTTTGGGATGAAAAAATAGCAAGTTACTCCATTTTACATTAAATACACTAATACAACTAACTAATGAATTGAAACTACTTCAGATGAACTGTGTGTAAAGAAATTTTACCTGCAAACTCTAGAAGCGGTTTTACAAAAACAAGGTTAACAGGTACCATGCTCTGATCCATGAAAACGAACAGATAGTAAAACAGAAGCACTTGCTGTGCTGCCTCACTGTAGTCTGTTCTGAGTTAGTAACAGCTTTCTCCAACATCTTTTGCTCTATTATCTTTGGCACATAGTGAAAAAAAATCCTAATAAGTTAAAATAAATTTAGCTGCTGCCTTCCTTCAGTATACCACTGGTCTCCAATAAATGCTAGACTGAACTACTTCATGAAACTTTTTTTTTTTAAGATTTATTTAATGCATACAGAACTGGGGTATAGGCCAGAGGAAGGGGTGGCAAGAGGATTCACCAGAGACAGAGTGGGGAGCAGAACAGGCAGATCAATGAAATACACAGAGGGGAGCAGCGGGCAGGTCAGGAGAGGTCTGCTGTGCCATGAGAATCACCTGTGAGGCTGGGGATTGAACTTGCACTTAAGTTGCAGTTAGCTTGCAGTGCTGCAATCTGACCCACTGCACCACCAAGAAGGGCCCACTTCATGAAACTTCTAACTCCACCACAGATACTCTCCACACCAAAGGTCAATTGAGAGCAACAAAAACCACAGTAAACATTCTTGAGCATGACTGCCTGCCAGCCACTGAGCTAAACACATGGTGACGACACAGTATTTACTGAGAACCTGCTTGCATTATACTTGTTGAGATCAGGTAGTTCCTCTTTCTAAGGTTATCCAGGAAGACAGACATTAAGCAAGTATTCTTTTCAAAACATCAAGAAGGGGTTCCGGCCCTCCCTGGTGGCGCAGCGGGTTAAAGCACAGCACTGAGAATCTGAAGCCACTTCCGCATGAGTTCGATTCCCGCCTGCCGCCTGCCCGGAGGAGACCACATGGCGAGCCAGACCTCTCCTGACCCGCCCGCTGCTTCCCTCAGCAGTGTACTTCGTAGATCTGCCTGTTCTGCTCCCCACTCTGTCTCTGGTGAAGCTTCTCACCGCCCCTGAGCCTCTGGCCTGTACCCCAGTTCTGTATGCAAAAATAAATAAATCTTTTAAAAAAAAAAAAAAGAAGGGGTTCCTCAGAAGTCACCCAATTCAAAACCTTAAGATCTGAAGAACTCAAACCCCTACCTAGCTCTGCTGTTTGGTCTCACCTTTTAACTCCCACCACTGCAATTACACGATTTCTTATACTTATTGGATATGTTGCACTTCCTTCTGCCACCACTCCTTTGTATAAGAAGCTGTCTGCTAACCTAAATCCTATACCATAACCTGTACTCCATGCTTTAACTGGTTACTAGTCATCCTTTAAATCTCTAAAAGATCACCTCTTAAATCCAATGAGGTCTTTATATTTCCAGAGTACTTCCCTTATCTTCAGCAGGCATGCATTATTGTTATTCACAAGTTACACAATTATGATAATCTGATTAATACACACCTATTCAATATAACAAAATAGGCATTTAAGTAAATATATGAATTAGCATTTTAAATAATATAAGCAGTCCAAATCAGAATAATCTGAGCCAGCAAAATTATAACAAAACTTTATCCAAAATTATAACAAAACTTTAACCAGAATTATGTGGAGACAAAGGAAAACAGGATTTTTTAGAAAACAGAAATGTTAAGGAAACAGTTAATATGTTGGAATTAGTGAAAAGGACAAATTTTGGTATTGTATTATAAGCCTGGCCAAATGATCTTTTATACCCTCTAAATGTAACTTTATATTACATTGAAGTAATATAAAAAATTCAATCCTGAATCACTCATACATGTCATCACTATTTTTTAATAGGAAGGTAAGCTTTAGAAAACATTTCAGAAATTCTAATTAAGCAAAAAATAAATTTCA